ATCCTCCCTCTTTGCTATTCCTAAATACTTTTTGAAAGTTGTTAACTCAAAGAGAAAAATTTCCACACATCCCTCGCATGTTTCTTTTAATAGCTCCGATTTCTCGGGTGATTTTGAAATCTCAAATCTCTTTGCTGAATACTTCCGACGAAAATTTCAACTGCTAATTTCGATTTATCAGCAAACTACCGATATCCGATAACTACCATGGTTTCAATTCCTAATTTGGTTATTTCTGAAAATGACGTTTTAAAAGGTTAAGCTCTCTAAAATATAGTTGTGCGCTTGGATCTAATGGAATGCCATTATGTGTGCTTAAATCTTGCGCTGTCGAATTATGAGGTGTTATCTCAAAGATTTTTGACCAATCCTCTAATTTAGGCGTTTTTCCTTTGTGTACTTTCCTTATTCCTATTCACAAAAGTGGAAGCAGACAACTTGTGGAGAACCACAGGGACATAGCCAAAGCAATTCTTGCTGTTTGCTCTTAGGAATTTGAGTTAGGACCCGATTATCTCTCCGCCACCCTATGAAAATAGGTCGCTTCTATTGTCCTTACCATATTTTGATTAAGCTTAGTCAATGTAAATACAGTTATGAGCTGTTTAATCCGCTCATAGTTTTTTGCAGAAACCTAAATGAGGTCTATTAAAGCAACTTTGCTTAATATGCGCGATTTACCTATGTCGTGCTTAAACTAACATTTAATTCTAACTATGTCCTTTTTTTTATTTAAAATAATAATGTTGGTTGCCAAGGTTATGCATGTTTGCATTGGTTTAGGGGTTCACTTCAAACCTGGATCTGTTCTTGTAGCGGGTGTGCTTCAGTGCTACATCCATTTTTTATTCTCTTTTTATTTATTTATACATGAATTATTATTTTTATCTTTTTAATTTATTTTTAAACTTACTTGCTTTTTATTATTCTTCTTTTTTTCCTCCTTTTCATTGTACACTAGTTTTCAAACAATTGGTATACGATTTTCTATTAAGATGTACTGAATTCGACTGTAATTTTCTTTAGCTGAATTTCATGTGTTAATGAATAAGTAGGTAAATAAATATATAATAAATAAAATAAAAAAATTAAACAAAAGTAAAATGATACATTTAGATTAGAATTACTTGAACCACCCCATTTGCCGAGGAACTAGGCTAAAATAGAGAGTGTGCTTCAATGTGTTTTAATTTTCGGGCAACGAAATAAGTAAACTAAACTATAGAATGCTACAGTATAATTCTGGCGGGCACCGAGGGGCCCATAAAATCAGCTCTTATGTCACCATCTATTAAACATGTGGGATCTCAATATTATACATTCCTTTTCAAAATTACACGTTATTCATATACGTGTATGGAAATGAGTAAATATGTTAACCTACGTAATACTATTCTAACGAGTTTTAAGGTTACTTGTAATTGGTATGGCTCTGCTGGAAAAATGTAATATCTGCAAACAAGCTGTATGCATACTGTAGAGCTTTACAATACCTACTGAAAAGTTGCCTTACGGTTAAGAACTGCAATCTTGAACTTAACGAGTTCGTACCAATTAGAATTTTTTCTACAGAATGGTATTGCAGGCTTGTAAATTGTCATGTTTGTACCAGCTATCATTCTGGTTTATTATTAATTTAAATTATTACCACTCTCTAGCGTTCTGTTCAACTGTTTACTGCTGCTGTGGAGAAAAAGGAGAAAGTTCAAATAAGTAAAGTTGTAATAAGTATTTTTTTTAGTTGTTTTGCCGTAAAAATATAAATATTTTCACTCTTTGGAATATCGCTGTTAAGGCTTTGTTTAAAGAGAATACATAAATACATATACATATATGTAAATAATGTAACATAAATGTGTGTTGTCGCTACCAATCGTTTAGTTGTAAACAAATCTTTATTTAATTGATCGCGAAATATTGTTATATTCGCAACGCATTCTGACATTAATACAAATACTTGCTCCATCTGTAAGCCAGACATTACATTTGTAAAGTATCAAAAATCATATTTTGCAAAATACGCGAAAACAAATAGCACCTGTTTTGATCGTGACAAAAAAATATTATAAGTAATAATATAAGTAATTCCTCATTAATAGAGACGAACCATCAAGTCCAAAATAAAGAGGAGAATAGCTGGTTACGTGATTTAGTTATAGAAATAGTGACTTCGCAGCAGAAAAGAGTTGTTACTTCCTTAAGCCCACAGTCAAGTCTGCAAATTCAAAAAAAATATAGCTGACGCAATGAAGAATATTTGAATGCAGAGTAAACAGACTCAATCAGGTAATCGTATGGAGTATTCTAGTTCTCCACCTATCTTCAGTCCCATACGCAAGAAAAATTTAGAAAATATCTTAAATTAATTTTTAAATCCCTGTGACTCATCCCCACCAAACTTTAATAGAAACGATGACTTGACTGCCCGTCCAGATAATGTGAGTGAAATAATTTATAATTTGTAATTGAAATTTACAGGAGACAATACAAGATTGACTGTCAAAGTATATAAATATAGAGCAGAAGCATTGACAAATCAAACTTTAAATGTCAATTTCGACCTTGTTAGGCGGAATGGCAGCGTGTTGTTTGAGAGAAAAGCCACTGAATGGTTTTGGAGATACCATAACCATTGATTCGTGTGTTTTTACATTGCGTAGGCAATATAAGGGTTCGTGCACTGATATCGGTACCAAAGGATTGATTCTTGAAAGGAAGCACAAGAATAATGAAAGTTTCGACGCTTTTTATGTGTTCATATTGGAACTGGTACAACAACTAAATGAAACATCCCAATCGCATCTTCTCGAGATTTAACGGATAACCCGTTTACCAGAAATCTAATCTGAAATATTAAACTTAGCAGTATATTCAGTATCTCATTTGAGAGGTACATTTCATACAAGAAAACAATTTTTACGAAGTATTTAAAAGAGGCATACATTTGTGCGGCATTAACAACATAAGCGTGTTGCAGAGTTTCCCCAAATGGACGAACAAACAAAAGTAGAAGATACAGGCTGAATTGATGATGAAGTTTCACAAATAGAATTAAAATATTGGAATTGTCAAAAAGTTGTTCTTAGCTATTAGAATTGTCTCGCGGAATGTAAAATAGTTTGTCATGGGTGTCGAAAGTCGAATGTCTACAAGCCAAATTGCGCCAATTGTAATAGCTTAAAAAACGTAATGGCACATGCACAACGCAGTGCACGCAAAGCAAATCCTATGAAACAAACGCAATTCTACGATTAAAAGATAATATTTCACCATTTGAAGCCAAAAAGGAGTTCAATACTTTTGAAGACGAATTTCCAATTTACGTTAGACCATTGCATATACGCGTTCAGGAAAATAATATATTTCAATAGAAGGTAATACACAGTGCAAAATTTAAAAACTGTATCCAATGTAGTAAACGTATTAAGAATTCTTGGAATAATACTAAACTAATGCGAAAAAATATTATGTCTACTATTTTCGAGAAAGCAAATGATATCCGACCACATGCAGAGGTTATAATATTTAATAAAAAATTGAATGGGTTGCCGGATTCCGGTGCATCAATAACACGTATTGGAGGTAAATTAGCAACGGAATATTTGAATTCTGGAAAACCGTGTAAACATGTTGATTCATAAAATAGAAGGCTAACCTCACTTTTCGTGGAGAAGAAAAGGTTTTGCAGATATTTATTATACCACTATTATCAAGATCGCTGTTCCTCGGATATGATTTTTGGAAATGGTTTAATATTTTACTGGCTGGATGTATTACTGAATTAGCACCTGTTGATGCCACTATTTCCACTCCTTCAGCATCCCTTAAGTTAACACAAATTCAAAGGGATCAACCCCGAAGAGGTAACAAACAAATTTCGGTCGTCTACCAACGAGAGTTTAGATAAAGCAAATCAAATAAGTCACGTTAAAGATGTAGGACCACACCTATCAAACAACGATGAAGGAGACCGTGTGATAAAATTAGAAGGTATTAGGAGAATACAACAGTGCATTGAGACCACCTTGTGTGTTGTTAAGAAAACCAGACTTTGCCTTGGTAGTAGGAAGTAAATGATGTTACGATTGAGGACGCTTATGCTGTTTCTAATGTTTATGACATTATAAGTAGACTTCCTAAAGCAAGTTTTATCATCAGTTTAGATATGAATGATGTATTTTGGCAAACTTTCTTACATCGAGAATCTCGCGATAAGACAGCGTTTACGATACCTGGTCGCCCAATATATCAATATAAAGTGACGCCTTTTGTACTTTGTAACGCGTCCCAAACCATGCAAAGCAGCTGGGTGATGCCAAGAATTCACAATAATAATAGATCGTACATCCTTAAAATGGTTAATGTCTTAACGTGATTTAAGCTGTAGGTTTGCGAGGTGCTATGTGTTCAAGATTCAACATCATAAAGGAAGCCAAAATATAGTATCAGTTACCCTCTCACGTGCTCATGCTGACGAAAGACTGTTAAAAGATGACCTGAATATCAGCATTCTGACTGCAGATGATTTTGCAAACTTAACACGCCAAAATTATAATGGAGCATTTTAGAGTTTAGTTTAGTTATTTAGTTGATCACGAGTAATAACAAATTAGGGCACATTCTATGTTGTGGTCTAGCTCGCCGGTAACTGGGGTGGTTCAAGTAATTCTAATCGTCCTTATCAGACTAACACTACAAATGTAATCTAAGAAGGTGCATTAATTAAAACGGATGGGCAGAAAAAAAATAATCTGTGGATTACCTTCTTAAGCGGACTGACATTCTCCTACATTCTATCCCACCTGTTGCCTAGGAGCATCAAGGAAAACTATTGCCGTAATTAATTACAATATTTATATATCTTTTTGTTTTAAATAAATTTATATAATCTATATAATTTATTTTTATTTAAAACAGAAAAAAAAAAAAAATTAAAATAATAAAATTTAAAGTTTTTGTTTGGCAAAATTATTAATTGTTCTAGGTTTTTATATTGTTAGGAGAAAGAAGTCGGACAGGAAGTTAGCGCTCTCATTTTAGCCACCTGTTCTGCAACTGTGGAACGTTTCTCAGTCACATATGCTGGCCGGCCAATCACGGGAGATGCCGTAGTAACCACAAGTGCACAAACGATGCCTGAAGCCACTGTACTTGTTCTACTCTCTTGTGTATGTTCACCGCAGAGAGACACCGTCGACTCACTCCGATGGATTCGCGGCGCATTCTTTGTCTTGACCATATCGAACAAGACCGGGTCCTCAGACTGTTTTTTCGGCGTACGTGCAAGTTTTGTTAACCCATTTTATCAACCAACATGCAGGGCACACTTCATCATCACCATTTCCACATCGGAATTCTTCCGCACTTTCTCACCAAAGAATCCGGGTTTATTACCCTTTCCAATCACTATGTGCTTACAGTGGGTTACAGTCAACAATCCCATAATAGTGCAATTAGTATACAAAATAATCTTAATAATTCATATTATATATAATTAAATGTACAATAAAATAAAATAAGCTCATCCGTAGCGCAGCTGAACAAAAAGCTAGAAACCTCTGCCTTGGTCCAGGTAAGCAAACACCATTAACGTAGCACCATATAAAGGCTTACACTTCAGCTTGTCACGCCCTTATGAAAAGCGTCACTAAGTATCGGAAAGCAAAAGTTGAGCTTCCATTTACACTAATGAATTGCAGGTAATCCCAAATGATCCCAAGTTGTGTCATAAGAAACCCCAAACACTGTAAACATATGCAACTATTTCTTTGATTAGGGAAATTTAAGTGAATTCACTTATATTATAGTACAGGTATATAGTTATGCGCACTGCATGTGCTTAAAATTGAAAAAGGTAAAATGAAGGGAACAGAATTCATCTGTTAACAAATTTCGATGTTTAACTGCTTACATTTAAAATGTTTCTGGAAACATTGCGAAAAGCACATATATGATATACGCTAGCCGACAACTATTGCACTTATTAATAGAGGATTTAATTATATTACTGTACTCTAGGAGGTATTAACGGTATTAACGGAAGAACTGAGAAAGGCAAGAAACGCAGTAAACAGAGACATTGTCTCCTGATGACGCACTTATACTTCCTTGTCAAAATGGTATTGACAAATTGGAAGTATAGCAAAGCTGTGGCATTCGTGTAATTAGAGAAAAGAATTTGATGATCTTGAACTGTCAATCCAGATGAAGAGAGAACGCAAGGGCTTCTTTTTCGAGTAAAACAGATGGGTTGGGGCTTGTCTGAGTTTATTTTTATTTTCTATTTATATACATAATAAGATGTTATATCAATCGCCATTTGCTACTTGTTACCTAGTTCAAAAGCAAGTTCTTGCAATGAGTGGAGTCCAATATCATTAGCATATAGAAAATCGTGCCAATCATTACGTTTTTGGAGGAAAAAAAATCGAATACAAAATTGAACCCAGAATAGATCCCTGTAGAAATTCGCACGAATAAATAGTACATAAGAAAATTTAATTAAAAGTGAGAGGTAGAAATATCTTTGAGAGGCTTCAAACTAATCTGACTTCGTTAAGCGGAAAACAAGTAGTCTTTGAAAATTAGACCATAATTCCAAAAGAAATCAAAGGCTCGTTCAACGTATGAAGAAACTCAGCCAGTGGCTTGGCAGCCCTCAAATCTTTTTTAACATGTAGACATATGCCTAATAATTGGCATAAAATTGACTTCTAAAACCAAGTTTTTACTTGGAATAATATTTTTCTTAGAAATTATTTTCGTCTAATCGCTCCTTCCACGATGCTTAGAGATGTCAACGAACTAACAGTTGACACAGTTTGGTAGTTTCCTTGGCTTAGAAATTGCACTAGTTTTGCCCGAATTCCATATATGGAAACTATTGGAGTTTGATGAGTGAGTTAGTTATGCAAATAAAAATCAGATTAATTTACGGGGAAATATATTGGAGCTATATATTCAATATCACCCCTACCCGGATGCTTTCTTCAGCATGTTTTGCGCATCAAACACTTAACGGCGTCATTATTTACGTAATCCTCCTTCGAGACATGAGCTGACTTTGAGTTCCGTGTCGCTATACCAGACCACACACTCTTTAGCAAAAGAGCTTAAGTGGCATGAGGCTTAATGATTTTTTGAAAATCTTTCTGCAAAAACTTCTGTTTTATTAACGTATAAGGCAAGTTTCACACTTCGATACTTAAATGGAGAAGCTGAATGAAGTTCTGCGCTTTTTACGCACAATTTTATTACATTCCAAACTACGTTGTTTGCTTTGTGTTAAGCACATACTTAACGATCCCTTAATGCGCTTACGAATTAAATAATTTCATTCGTGATAAGGCACGCGTAATTAAAAGTGTTCATAAAATCGAGTTATTGTCGATAACGACGTCATTGTATTTTGGGAAAGTTTTTGGTTCTAACTAAACAAAATACGTTGGAAAGTCCAAGAAAATTAATGTTAGGAATTTTTTTGAGCACTGAGCGCTAACCAGCGTCTGTTATGCTCATAGAAAATAAGTTGATACAACTGATTGCCTACATTCTCTGTTTTGGATATAAAGTTAACATAACTTGATCGGTCATTAAGAGGTTTTTTAAGAAAATTTCGATCATTATTCTTACTAGCTTTATTGCACACCATTAATCTTTTTACTACGCTGAGTGCTTGATAATTCAAAGAAAAATCGGACTGTAACTCATCTAAAGCTCGCAAATTGGAAATAACCGCCGGTATACAAATCAAGGTAAAAAACAGAAAAGGCGGCGTAGAGTTTCGAGCAGATAGAATACAGGCCGAATCGTTTGTGTGTAAAGTATTATTGTTACCGGATTGTTGCAATTTCATCCGATGTGTTGCAGCAACAATTTGTCTTTGTGCGGCAGCAATTCCGTGATTTGGCATTTAAGCTGGCATATACAGCAAATTTGGTTCCTAATTTTAAGTAGGTCAATTTTAAATTTTCTTTTAAACACATCTGAAAAGGATCCACGATTAAAATAGGCACTAATGAGCCTTGAGGGGCTGCGTTAGCATTGCGATAAACGATGTTTTCAATCACATCAGTTTTAATTGATGGAACTATGGTGGATTGAAATTTCTATTCTTCCACGTAACTGATTCGTTCTGTCATGTCTTATACAAGTATAATTCGGGTGATGTAATATGTCGGGGTATCTAAATGATGCTTTAGGATATAAACGTATATCGACACCATATTTGATTAAAAACAATTCAAAAAGCTCAACGGATTTGTTGTGGACACTGCGACAGTTCCAAAACACGACTTTAGGCGTAGCTGCGTCAATTATTAACCATTTGAACAAAAATATTTAATAACTAATCGCGTTATGGTACGAAATTGTCCCTATTTCTTTGTTCAAATTTTGAAGTGATTAACTATACCAGAAAGTAATTGAATGATTTCATTTTCCCCAAAAAGGTCCACGTTGCTCTTATACAGGCGAAGGTTGATTTATATTGATCGTGAATTGAAGTGTTAACACGAACCACAGGTTTTTTTAAATGTAGATTTATTATGCAGTACTGGAGAGCTGGCTTGGGGAAAACGACATTTTGCAACCCAGCTTTTTGGGCAGACTTTTGGTGTATCAATTTATCTCTTACTTGTCTGTGCGAAAACGGTTTTGGTTGTAATTATAATACTTTTCGGTATGCTTTCCAGCGCAAAGAGCACGTACTGGCTTTATGTGCCAAAGCCGGTCGCCATGTCCAAATACCCAACAATTTCTACATGAGACTGGCTTGCCTCTGCTTTCTCAAGTGGATCCACGTGTGCAATAATTTCCTTTTTTTGGGCAGAATTAACCGAACCCTTTTCTCCAGCATCATTATTGCAACTTTGTAATGGGAGCCACAAGTTTTTTCTTTCATTGAATGAAGTTTTGGTTTTCCGAACTTTGCAAGACATAGTATCTTCAGAAAACCTTGATTTCTTGGATGTTATAAGCTTACATTTAATGGTGAGGATGGTAATGCAATAGCGTGTACTGTATGACTATAGACGCTCGCTTTATAGAGAAGACGATGCGATGCCGAGAATCCAATTGAAAAGTGGACAGCCGTTAAGGACGAGAGTATGTGGGCCGTGTATAATTTGACTCCTTTTCTTCCACACAACTGCATTTAAATTGTAGTTCGCAGCAGCAGCTTTTTCAGCAAGCTTTCTACCTATGATTTTGTACAGGATCACAATCTGAATATCTTGCTGTACGCTGAAGGGAAAAGATTAAACATGTTAATTTCGTTTGTAAAAGTAACACAACCTTAATAAAATGGTTTAATAATTGGTTTGATAAAATCGATAAAAAAAAAATGTTTTGTATTCCTTTTTTTGATAGATAGGGAAGTAAACAGGGCACGGAAGAACAAGAAACTGTATAGATTGGGGTGTAATGTCCAAACTATGAACTCATCATCTCCTTAAAATTCATTTAATGATCATAGAGACAGGTGACTTCTTGCAACTTTTGTGAAATCCTTTAGTGTTGTTTTGTGAAGACTATAGCACTTATCATATTATCACTCATTAAAGACTTCCTTTTATATGATGTCAAGCTTAATAATTCTATAGAACGCCATTCGCATTGCCAAATCATGATATGTAGTCTTAAAAAGAGCCAGTAGTCGTACAGTATCTACGATTATTCAGAATTATCTAATAGTAGGAGGTCGCGAACGTCAAAACCACAGCTGTGAAATTATTGGCAAACTACCGGCAGCTACAGTTTATAATTTTTTTTGAGTCCCCAATAGCGTCGTCAACTGAAACTTATTTTAATAGAAAACAAAAGAGCATAAAAGCAAATACCACTACACATGAGAAAGTCCTAATCCAAAATATGAGCGAGAGATATGCTTTGAGATTGTTATTCATGTTATCATTTATAATACGAAATATCCTAATAATCAAAAAGCTCTCACTTTGCTTTTAATTACAGATCATATGCACTGATGACAGCTCACCAATGTCCACTTTTGATGATGAAGTCTGTAAAGGCAAAATTGTCTGTAGGATCGACGGGAACTCATTTATAATTAACGCAGAAAATGAAACAAATCCGACTTTAAGTGATAGCTCAGCTAGTGGTATGTACCTTCATTATCCAAATAGTGCCTATTTGCTCCATTTTCATCATAAATCTTGTGATCATCGTAGAGAAATATATATATTTGCAATGGTTTTGTCGTCCTCTATGTAGAGCTCGTAGTAAAAATGGAAATCTATTGCACTATATACATAATTGCTTCAGGTATATAGAATTGCTTGAATTCTGTATAGTCGCGCAAATGTGCCACGTTTTTTCTTTGATGGTAAAAACAATCACGCAAATATTAACCGTTTGAGTACCAGACGGTTTTGATAAAACACTGTCGAAGAAACCCAAGCAGCGCGATCGGGCTGTTTAGGTTAGATGTCGAGAAATACCAAGCGGCGCCATAGCGCTTGTTTAATTTTATGTATTTAAATGCATTTAAATTGTTTGTTAATAAATATTTCAAGTTTGTTCCACAAAAATTATAGAAAAAACAACACCAAATATAAATTTTTATTTTGTAATATATTATTGCACTACTATAGTACTATTGTAATTATATCGCGCTCGACTTCGACAATACATAACGCACAATCAGTTGTCGACAATGCTCAAAATGTGCTGGTATTTCTCGACATAAAAACTAAACAGCGCGATCGCGCTGCTTGGGATTTTTCGACAGTGTTTTTTCAAAACTGTCTGGTATTTCTCGACATGAAATCTGAACAGTGCGATCGCGCTGCTTGGTAGTCAAACGGTTAAGCAGAAAATATATATATTCAAAAAAGAAACTACGGATAATAACGAAAGTTACGAAAAAACTGACTCTGCATGAATTATACATAGTTTTCGTCAAAATTCTTTACCCGAACTCTGCGTAGAGTGCGACAAAAACATTGCTACCACAGCTTTATACGAAATTTATCGCCCAATTTTTTGGAATATTATTATTTGTACATATTTTTTGATCTTAAGGGGTTATTAAAGAATGTGATGCCATTCGAGTATTCTTCAGTGACGCTATGCATTTGGTATTTGAAACTAATTGGTTTCAGAAAAATCAAAATGTCTATATTCGGCTTATGTTTAATCTCAGAATATCCTCTGGCTAATTATTTTTGTTATATTTAATAAATAAAATCAAATTAAAACAAATCAATAAAATTTAATAGCGCTATGAAAGTAACATGCATTATCACTTCTTAATAGATTTTGAATTAATTCTCTTAAGGGAAAGAAATTTCCGAACTTCTTTACTGGACAATGAGGAAACGTTGCGTTTCTGATTTAAATTTACTACAAGCGTCTTTAAGGCAAAGGTGGGGAAGGAGTTGTTTATTAACTTAGTAAATGTGGGGAGGATTTGATCAGTGTTACTGTTATTTAAGATAAAGATTTTTAAAAATGAAAACCACTAAATGAAATTCGTAGAACGCTGTTGTTTACAATGTGAATATTTAGATTTCCGTTTTTACAACCCTAAAACTTTACTCCGAGATCCTATACATTTATTCAATTGCCCGATGATCCACTTTTTCTCGGTGCTTCCGCTTGCGCTATAGATATTCAAAATTAGATTTGTCGTCGATCGACGCTTTCGTATTTGTTTTTTTAATAATTGCAACAATGACAATCAATCAGATATACTAAAATTATTATTTGTAGTTGCCGCTCTACCTGTCACCAATACAACTGCATCAGCTCTAACAACAAAAACATCTTTGAGTTCTTGTTTTACTATAACAAAAACCTGGACGACCACGGCGACAACTAAAAAATCGGCGTCGCCACAAATATTTAATGCAATATACAGAGAACAAAATCAACAACAGCAAAGAACACAAACAGACGTAAACGTTAATCCAAAAATTCGCACGTTTCGCGTTATTTTCGCTAACGATGCTAAACTACAGCAACGCAACGAAAAAACAACAACAACCGCTACGCACTTCAAAATACACAAACCAATTTTAATGTGTTTTATATGTAAATTATCCTTTGGTATTACAAAATCGTTTAGTTTGCATGCAAGTATTGAACACGGACTCAGCCTGCAGGAATTGGAAAAATATTTATTGTTGCAACGCGAATATTCGAGTGCCATAATCCAACGAAATATGGATGAAAAACCCCAGATATCATTCTTAGAACCAATGGATACTGCTACGTCAAGTTTATTGCACATTGAATCACAACCCACTACACATGCCAGTCGCCAAATGACTGTGATTGACAGAGAAGGGGAGACCGCGTTGGAAGTTAAAACTTTCACTGACATAGTAAGCAACGATGAAGGTGATGATGATGAGAGTGATAACGTAAATAATAAGACTACAAATACCTTTGCTTCAGTAAACCAGTTCTCGGATCCGGCCAAAATCTCCCTCTCCACAGCTCCTGCTGCTATGATTTCTACCACCGTTGATACCAGCCAAAGCCATAGTGATAAAAAGAGTTCAACACAGCTGCCTGATCATCGACAGCATCTTAAGTATTTTTATGATGATAGTACAACAGATGTTTGTTCGATTTTGACAAATTCAAATATTTTAACATTAGGTTCTTCAAACTTAGAAAAATTAAAATCTATTAATACAAATACAAACACTTCTACAACTATAGATGTTACCAACAACAATACCGGCGGATCACCTTTAAACCGCTTTATCATAGCAGCAGCATGCACCAAATCTAGCTTAACGGTTAAGCGAGCATCAGAAAAACCTATGGGTTCGTCGTTGACAGTTCATAATCTTCCAGCACCTGACAGTTTGATCGTAACGTCTCTATATGCTTGCCCATCTAACAAAACCTCACTGTCGCAAGATGCTGAAACTTGTAACGCAAATGATAATGTTAATGATAATAATATCCATGATGAAAACGATAACGATAATGACAATGGTAACGATAATAATAATGACAATGGTAATGAAAACGATAATAATGATGATAATGACGGTGATAAGGAAAATGAGGATGATAGTGAGAGAGACAGAGATAATGAAATTGATAATGATAACGATAATGATAATTGTAACGATAACGGCAACGAGAATGAGAATGACAATGCTAATGAGAATAATAATGATCATGTCAATGATAATGATAACGATAATGATAGCGACATTGATAATGATGGTATTGATAACGTTAGCGTTAATAATAATGGTAATAGCTCTATAACCAAAACAATCGAGCAAAAATCGCATCAGAAATTAAATTTGGGGTCTTCAAATATTAACCATAAATCACTTTCTCTTCCTTATAACATTACAGCCGATACCTTTTTAAAGCAGCGATTACAAAAAATTTCCACGGCAAATGAAGGGCGTATTTTAAATTCGCCAGTGCAGGCGGACGGTAATGATATACCTACCGATGATGATGTTGATAAATCAGATGCATTGACAGCGCACTTGTCTCAGTTATCCATACCACACTCATTTTCCTCACCTTTGCTTTCGCTCAAATCATCTGTTGTATCAATGTCAACTCCAGAATCTGTCCATCTTAATTCCTTAGAAGCCTCCCTTCCCACCCTTAGCTCCGAGAAAAACAGCAATAAAGCAAAATTTTTAAATGAGTTTCTGCAACATCAGTTAAATACTATGTATTTGCAGCAACAGTCCCTCCCGCGGCTAATAAATAAGCTTAGTGACACATCCATAGCTATGTTTAATACTACATCACCACCCGCACCGACATCAGCAGCTAATGCCTGCCCACACCATACCGATTGTAAAGGTATCGACTGCAAGTCATGTGAACTTCTGGAAATTCAGCAACATTTCAAGCAGTCGGCCTCAGTAATGCCCCAACTCTCGCCTACTGCTCCGAGCATAGTCACTGCCGCCGCGGCAGCCGCTGCAGGTTTAGGATTACTCTCAGCAACGAATACCATATCACCACCGTCGAATGTAATTGTTAACTCGAGCGTGTTAACAGGAACGTTGAACCCATCCAATATGGTAAGTTCGGGCCCTGGAATCACTACAGCGTCAAATGCCGGCAGTTTCACAATCGGTGCCTGTTCGGAACACATAAATGGCCGACCCTTGGGCGTGGATTGTGCCCGGTAAGATATTTAATTTACTTATATTTTTGTACCTATCAGAAGAAAGCTTCAGAAAATCTACAAAGTATATATTTTCCTAATTAGCATCAAATTCTTAATGTAGGCATATTCGGTTGTCTGTCTGTCCATCTGTTATAAACATTCTCCAGGCCGCAAAAATATAGCTATCGACTTCAAATTTGGCACAAAGCATTGGAAGTTCTTGCGCGCGGGTTAGTGTTGAAAACGTGCCAAATTGGTCGAAGGACGTAAACTTTCAACACCTCTGTTTTTCAAAAGGAATAAAAAATTCTTGTGTGTAGATTTTGTTTGGATAATGCTGTAATATTTCTAGAAAAATGCAAAAAAATGAGCGCCGCCCACTCACTTTTACAATATATCTTAAGCACAGAAGAAAGTCGCACAGAGTATATAAATTTTTGGCCTGTTTCAAATTCGGCATGAGTCTTAGCACGTCCCTCCTCTATGCATCTTTCCGTCTGCGCAAATGTGTAATATGTGTGATAAACATTCCCCCGTTCGCAAGAATGAAGACGTCGCCTACAATGTTGCAAAAGAATTTAAAACTGATCCAAACTTTTCTAAGAACACGTCTAAAAAGCCAACACGCCTATGTACCAAAGTCTGTGTTTTTTGTATAAAGTACAACGCATGCACCGTATAAATTCCCACAAAGGCAGCTTTTGAACAATATTAAAAAATGGCAATAGTGGAGCAATTCTTGGGAGGATTCCCGGCCTATAATTTAGCCCGTGCAAATTTGAATTTAAAGAAAGCAATTGAACTACATGCTCATAGCGGATAGCGCCGTAGGTAGCAGATTTTGAAAATATTGGTTTTAGAAACTTCATGTAATGTGTAAATTTTGGTTTGCTATCATATTTGTTTTATTTTATTTATATGAGAAATAACTATTTAACTAAAGAATAAAAACTTCAACTGAGTGACTGAAGTCGAAAGATACATATGTGAACTAAAGAAATTCGAAAAAAACAAAATATAAATTGTATGAACTTCTACAACGCACAATGTGTGTCCATTGAAAAGAGTAGCATTGCTAGTAATACAGAAATTACAATCACTACGGAAGTAACAACTACAATAAACATCTCGATAAATACTATCTAAGCTTGTCGTTTCGTCCTCATTTTTTCATCAGCATTACGTAATATACGAAATGGTATATCAATTTTCGATAGTATCTATGCCTAGAAACTTCGAAAGGTTAAAGAAGTGTTCCCAGTTGAATCTTCATTTATCATCTGTCTGCGTGCTTTTTCCATTAATTGTTAGAGTGAAACATACATATCAATTAAGTTAATGGGAGCCCTACAATCCCAGATAGACGAATAAGCACACGAACCAAAATAATAATATAACTTCATTCTAAACAAAACCCTTAGCAACAAAGAAGCATACTTGGTCGTTTGGTTGCAAGAGTGATCGAGAATGGAAATGTAATACGCAAGACAGCATTTTTAGGGTCAATTCAATGGCCAAAAAAAAAGATCGAGTTTCAAGAGTCGAAACGAATAAATTTCGTCAAAATATAGAAAAAGCAAATTAAGAAGAAAATAAAGAACAAGAGCAGGGACGCAGAAACGAAAAATTTAAAATTTTTGCTCAAAGAGAAAACACTTTTTGCTCTTCTTGGTCTCATTTTTATACCCGTCACCGAAGGATAAGTGGTACATTAATTTTGTCATGATGATTGCAACCCCCCGAAGTAAGCTTCACAGACCCGCAGAGTATTATATTTTTATCAAAGCCAAATTGTGAATGGATTTAGACATGTCTGTCCGTTCATCTGTTCATATCATCTGTCTTCCAAACTGTGTAGTATCTATGGTAAAGATTTTGCCGTTAGCGGAAGATATCGCCTCAAAATTTGCAAAAAAATTTGGAAATCGTCTAAACATATTAAAAGACCTGCCTACAACGCCCACAAACCTATACGACAAAAAGTTTTTGATATGAAAATAGAAAAAGTCGGCAGTGCCCACCTAATATTATAGAGCATAAAAATTTACATTTTTACTTTTTTTGTTTTTTTTTTAGGATAACGCAGATGGGTATAAAAGATTTGATCACACCCGAATGTACTTTTCTCACTCGTTCTTTTTAATACTTTTAAAGTTAAATGCGGATAGTTGGTAGCACTGTTTATTCTTTTTTTGTTTTATTATTATTATTATTTTAATTTTAGACTAATGAATTGAATTCTTAGACTAAAAAAAAGACATTGAGCACTAGCAACACAGGCTATCGGCTCTTTTTTTGTTTTAATGACCGTTTTGTTGAAGAAAAATGATGTAATATTGTAAAATTGCATAAATGGCTTATGCCGTGAGCCATTCTAAGAAATATACGTATTAGTATCGAACAAGATCACATATAAACAAATATTCGTTGATTATCAT